CCCCTATCTACCAGTGCCTGCAATACTTAAGAATAGATTGAATAAATTATTATTGGGTGAGGTGTTAAATCTTGGCCAGGAGTACAAGTGCTTTCTTTCTAATGAGGCTCCGCTACATCGTCTCTGCTCCTCATCGGCACGGAAGAGAAGCGAGAAAGCCTGCAGCAGGCACATTCACGGGCCTCCCGCATACACATATGCATGCACATACACCGAGTACACCCCCACATACATGCACAAATGGTAATAGTTTAAATGTGGGTGTTGCACACACGAACATGCACATTTACACTCACACACACACACACATTCCAGCCGCACCCTGGCCCATTTGCAAAGCTGTATCATAAAGCCAATTAAAGAGATGAGTCTTATTAGCAGAGGTGTCTCAGCCCTCGTTCATCACTGGGGTTTCCTGGCAGGGGCTGGTGACATGCAGAGCTCTTCATCATCTTTATGAGACCTGTCTCATCACGCCCTTATAAGACACTCATCCAAACTTTACTGAGACTCATGATTTAGCAGAGCGGGCTTGGCCCACAAATCCATTCAGTCGTCCTCGGGTCACCTTTGAATGCGCTTCAAGGGATTTGAAAATGAAAGTGGAGAAAATGTAGGCCTTGCATGGCACACTGCTAGTGTCTTCTGTCCCCCACCCTCCTCCATACCCTCTCATTGAAAAACCCATAATCTTGTTTCCTCTTCCTGCAGGGAAAACCTTTATTATCCTCACCGCAGAGCACAGGCCCACTGGGATGAGTGAAAGTGGCTTCACAACAATGGTGTGAAGTGAGGAGAGAAGGTGTAGAGAATCAAATTCCAGGGTAACCCTGGGTAAATATCCTCCTGCTCCCAGCTGAAAACTCGTCTTGTTTTCTTGCTTCGTGAGGTCGAATGCCCCGCTCAGACCTCTGGACCACCTGCAGCTCTGCTGATGACAGATTCCCTCCACACTCTGGACCATCAGTGCCAAAGAGAGACTAATCCTCCAGCTTCTATCCCCCAAGTACAATAGCCCTGTCACTCGTTCACTCATTCAGCATACCTTTAGCCGCTCTGCCTGTGTGTCAATATGAAGAAAACCGACAGGAGGCAGAAGGTGGATTCCCACGGCGCTCTATTCATAGCTTCTCACTGGAATCTCTGACCTGTTCTGGCTTGTCTCATGAAACCTGCTCATCATAATGAAGGGCATTGATCCTACTTCTCATTTCACATTCACCTTGACATCTCAGTTACAGCCCACAGAGCGTCTCCTCTTAGTCCAGGAGAGATTATTTCCCTTTATTTGGTTACAAGATATTTTATTGGATGCCCAGCACATTGTTGGAATGATACGGTTTGGAATGAATGAGGCGCTAGAAGATGAGTCTGGACATTCAAGCGCTGCTGGCCTGTCTGTGTGAATGAGGCCGCGTGCCTAATCTGAGGCCGGCTCTGGTAAATGATTTTCCAGGGTCAGCTGCTTTCCTCTGCCCTTACAAGCTGAGAAGATTACAACCGATGTTCTCATTAATGATTTATCCACGGAATTAAAAAACTCTAGGTTTATCTCCTCGCAGAGTCCTGGAAAAGTCTCAGGCGCTGCGTGAAACAGCTCTTCTTAGGGGGAGGCTTGTGATCAATCACAAGAAAGAGCAGCAATTAATGTAGAGCAAAGATATTTTGAATGACCATGAAATGCTGTTCGGATCCTCTTAGATGAGTTTCCACAGTGAACTCACGTGTATGTGTAAATCAGAAGTCCTCCTTGACCCGCTGAGGTTTCAACACCAGCTGAACTGATAGTGTATGTTGAGGCCTTTGGGTTATCAGAAGTAAATACAGGCTCTAAGTCCATATGAGGCTGTGATTTAAAATCCGCAGCCCTGACCTCTGTACAGCTTTTAACCCCCAAGTCAGCCCAAGCAGATGCATTGCTGTGGGAAAAAGAAAAGGAAGTAAAAAATAAAAAAAAACAGCTACAGAAAGAAAAGTATAGGGAAGATAATCGCTTTGGCACAGAAGCGTGAGATGTGGAAATAACTTTGACAATTGGTTTGACAACAGCTACACACCAATCCAAGATTCCTCTTTGGTCTCTTTCTGCATGAACACCACTAACAGCATGTTACAAAAAAAGGTTGACAGCTCAGATGACAATTACACAGGGCTGCAGAGGGAAGTGCTTCCCTTCGCAGTATTCTGATAGCCGACGTGTGACAAGCAGACGTAGTGATAGATGAGCCTCTTCATGTATTACAAGCTGGACATGAAGGGCGCTCACTGCCAGGTCCTATTCTGGTACGCCCGCAGTGATCTGAGCGCCTCTTTATTAATCATGCATTTAACACAGAAGTCTCAGTTGCTTTCATCCCTTTTTTTTTTCCTGCTACCACGCGTCCTCACTTTTATCAGAAGAGGAACACTGGCGCTCTTTGTCTCCACATGACAACTCTTGCTAAAAATGGGATGTTTTTGATAGTCAACACAAAGGTTGTGTGTAGCAAGATGTGTACATTCTGTTTGTCAGTAACTTAGAAGTGCAAGATATAAATCTATATGTATTATGAGTCAGAAAATGTACAGCAGTAAAGCCACTGTAGGGAGAGTGGAGGTCTGCCTTGAACCACACTGCCCCCATGTGGCATGAAAGGTAATACCTTTCCAGCGGTTACCTGTTGTTTACCTGACGTCCTGAAAAACTCACTCCCTCAGAAGTAATTCAAAATTTTAAGATTGTAAGTCAAAAATTTTCTCCAACTAGTAATTTTGTAATAACTCAAAATTTCAACATAGCTCTGCTTGCTCCAGAAAAAAGCTTCCATAGAAGTGTGTTCAGTTAAACCCATTTCTAACTGAATTTAAATAATGTTCGCTGAACAATTACTTAACTGTAGTTTGTTTCAGTTGTATAAATTAACTCAAGGAATCAAAAGCCTTTTCAAGGATTCCGTTTAAATACAACGGTTTTTATCCGCACTAGAATGTTACGGCTTTAAAAATTAATGCAGTTTAACGGTTTACCTCCTAGCCATACTTTAGTCAAATTTACATTTTATTTACATCCGCCATCCACTGAAATTTACATTGTTTGTTCAACAACTCTGTGTTTACCTGTAGTATAATTTGCTTTAACAGTTACTAGCTTGCTAACGGTTTGCCTCCGAGCCATACTTTAGGCTAAATTTACATCTAGACATAAACACTGTTGTTAATTATGTATATCCGTAGTGTTTCTCTGCTTTATATGTTAATACCCAATTCAAAAACTTAACCGCTAGCTACACTTTTCGTTCAATTAATATTTTATTTATGTGAATTTCCATTTCCTACCTACATACCGTTAGCATGAAAGCTAACTATTATCCATATTCTAGTGTTAAGGATAATCGGATTTTCGTTTTTAGATTTACACACTTTGCCTTTTTTTAATTTTTACTTTATATTAATCAACTGTTAACATGTTGAGGTGCACTTGATACTGTATACGTTTCAGCCTCCTCCACCTTTGGAATCACCAAACCACACCATATTTAGGCTTTGCAAAGAGAACATAAGAAGTCTACTGTGCAGCCTGATTAGTCATAGCTCCATTAGTTGCAGTTTGTTTCTTGTGGTCAAAAGTAAAAAGTACCACAGATGAAATGTGTTGATTTTTATTCAAAAGTTACTGTCTCCAGACAAGTACAAATCAGAAAACAGAGTGACTGAAAGAGGATGGGATAATAGACAACAACTCAGAGTGTAGGCAAGAGTGCTGACAAAATAAAACACAGACATGGCCAAAATGAAGGAAAGAAATAAAATTTTGTATATATACACATGATCTAATAAGAATTTATACCGATGTAGTGGTAAGTAACAAACAATAAACAGTACTTTTTTCCTTAAAAGAATTTTTCTTTTTTACTTACATAAAATAATTAGGCAAAACACATATAGGCTGTTTATCTACTTTATCACATTACATCTGACCACCTCATATTTCATGTTCTAAGAAGCCAATTATCCACCTTTAAACATGACTGATCCTCTGACATGGAAGATTACTGTGAGAAAATGTGACCTCCACAAGCATGTTTAAGGCTTAAGCATGGAATGACTACAAAATAAAAACCTCAGTAGACAAAACATTTCATTAAAACTTGTGTGTGACAAATACATGTCAAAATCTAAGCTTTGTCTAGCTGCCACAGCGCTGCTGAATAACTTTCATCTTCAGTATTGGCTGAATGACTACCTTACAGTTTTAACATTTGAAATCTAGAAGTATTTTGTGACCGGACTCTTTTTTTAAATGTTGAGAAAACCTTAAAGCTGAATTTCACAAGTCTTTTCATTAGTTTTATCCAAACTAATTTACATGTAGGAAAAAAGGTAGAAACCCGAAGACATTATCAAGACAAAGAAAAAATAAAAATAAAAGAACAAAACATAAAAATACAAATTTAAAAATCTTCCTTGATGCATGGCTTTACATGCTTTCATTTTTTTTTAGGTTTTACTTACACATTTCTCACTTTGTGACTGAAGGTTGAAAAGTTGAAAATAAGAAAATAATAAACCAAAAGCACATATATAAAATCAGCACCGATTCATATATAACTTTTATTTAAAATGTAGAGATACCCATTTCAACATTATGCTGCTGGATTTTAAAGAGAAAAAAGGTGATTTTCTTTGACCGAGCCGTTATCCCCCAGAGCCCACACAGTGGTACTACTGGGATTAAAAAAGAAGAAGGGGAAAAAAAGCTCATTTTGAGGGGGAAAGGTGTACATATGTATCTGGTAAGATGGTGATTAAGGAGTGATCCAAATCTTGGGCTAAGCTCTGGGACTTACAGCGTGGAGCATTCAGTGGACTCTATAGGAATCTTCACAGCATAAAGGGATCTTAACTGATTCTACATGACATCTTAACCATCTTAACCACCAGTGGTTATTAGGACCTCAACTCAGGGCCAACAACAGGAAGAAGAAACAGACAAAAGGGAGAAAGGGGGGAAGAAGAAAAAGAAAAAAGAAAAAAAAAGAAAAAAAAAAGCACAGAAACAAAGACCTCCATCCACTTGGCTAACACAGTACAAGCAAGCTACTACAGTCCGTTTATAAATTACTACTTCACACCTGGTAACTTACTACAATTGTAAAAAGGGTTAGACATAAACAAAAATGTTTCTTAAGTTAAACACACCATTTCATCCCCATTAAAAAAAAAGAAAGAGGAAAAAAAAAAAAAGGAAAACAAAAAGCTATTACTGATTTTTCTTCAGACATGTCTCATCTCTAATAGGTTTGGAAGTGGCCTGTTACGCTATTTCTGAACAGGAAGAGCTTACCCAAGATTATAAAAGTAAATATTTGAAACAAAGTCCTCTCTGAGCAAGCAACACTGAGTGTGGGTTGTCATTGGTCCACGTAAAGTACAAGCCAGATTTTTTTCTTTCCTTTTTTTTTTTTCATTTTTGCCTTTTCTTACAGAAAACACTTCTGTTTTCACTTCTAAAATTCTCTTTAAATACAAAGCGCCTCTTCTCTCATCCCAGCGTCAAAATCATCTGGATATTAGCTTAAAACATGGACACCCCAAGCATCTGGAAGAAACAAACAGAACATTAATACAGACTTCACACTGCACTCTCCTGGATGTTTACATGATTGAATGTCCATCTACATCAGTAATGATTAAAGTCTGACAGAACATGATCGTTTTCAACCAGTTTCCAAACTAAATTAACAGTTACTGAGAAATCCTGATCTTAATCAGGCTGGTTCTGAGCCGTGCAAAAAAATTGGTAAAAGCCAAGTACATCGCAAATGGTTTATATCCTCAGAAAAACCTTAATGGAACAAGATTTGAAGTATTTAGTGCAGACAAAACTGCTCCAATCTGATGATTTAGTTTCATTTTTGTGATCAAAAAGGTTGTTAAAGATAACATAAACCAGTCACACAGGGCTCTACTTAGCCTTACATTGTTCTATAGGGAGTGCAGAATTATTAGGCAAGTTGTATTTTTGAGGAATAATTTTATTATTGAACAACAACCATGTTCTCAATGAACCCAAAAAACTCATTAATATCAAAGCTGAATGTTTTTGGAAGTAGTTTGTAGTTTTAGCTATTTTAGGGGGATATCTGTGTGCGCAGGTGACTATTACTCTGCATAATTATTAGGCAACTTAACAAAAAACAAATATATACCCATTTCAATTATTTATTTTTACCAGTGACACCAATATAACATCTCCACATTCACAAATATACATTTCTGACATTCAAAAACAAAACAAAAACAAATCAGCGACCAATATAGCCACCTTTCTTTGCAAGGACACTCAAAAGCCTGCCATCCATGGATTCTGTCAGTGTTTTGATCTGTTCACCATCAACATTGCGTGCAGCAGCAACCACAGCATCCCAGACACTGTTCAGAGAGGTGTACTGTTTTCCCTCCTTGTAAATCTCACATTTGATGATGGACCACAGGTTCTCAATGGGGTTCAGATCAGGTGAACAAGGAGGCCATGTCATTAGTTTTTCTTCTTTTATACCCTTTCTTGCCAGCCACGCTGTGGAGTACTTGGACACCTGTGATGGAGCATTGTCCTGCATGAAAATCATGTTTTTCATGAAGGATGCAGACTTCTTCCTGTACCACTGCTTGAAGAAGGTGTCTTCCAGAAACTGGCAGTAGGACTGGGAGTTGAGCTTGACTCCATCCTCAACTCGAAAAGCCCCCACAAGCTCATCTTTGATGATACCAGCCCAAACCAGTACTCCACCTCCACCTTGCTGGCGTCTGAGTTGGACTGGAGCTCTCTGCCCTTTACCAATCCAGCCACGGGCCCATCCATCTGGCCCATCAAGACTCACTCTCATTTCATCAGTCCATAAAACCTTAGAAAAACCAGTCTTGAGATATTTCTTGGCCCAGTCTTGACGTTTCAGCTTGTGTGTCTTGTTCAGTGGTGGTCGTCTTTCAGCCTTTCTTACCTTGGCCATGTCTCTGAGTATTGCACACCTTGTGCTTTTGGGCACTCCAGTGATGTTGCAGCTCTGAAATATGGCCAAACTGGTGGCAAGTGGCATCTTGGCAGCTGCACGCTTGACTTTTCTCAGTTCATGGGCAGTTATTTTGCGCCTTGGTTTTTCCACACGCTTCTTGCGACCCTGTTGACTATTTTGAATGAAACGCTTGATTGTTCGATGATCACGCTTCAGAAGCTTTGCAATTTTGAGACTGCTGCATCCCTCTGCAAGATATCTCACTATTTTTGACTTTTCTGAGCCTGTCAAGTCCTTCTTTTGACCCATTTTGCCAAAGGAAAGGACGTTGCCTAATAATTATGCACACCTGATATAGGGTGTTGATGTCATTAGACCACACCCCTTCTCATTACAGAGATGCACATCACCTAATATGCTTAATTGGTAGTAGGCTTTCGAGCCTATACAGCTTGGAGTAAGACAGCATGCATGAAGAGGATGATGTGGACAAAATACTCATTTGCCTAATAATTCTGCACTCCCTGTAGAAGAGGAGGAAAAAGAAAGAAAGAAAAAAACCTTCCCAGAGGTTTTGTGACAGTCTGGAACAAGAATTTAAGGCTGGATATCCAGTCAGACATAAATAAAAATCGTTTATACAAGCCTAATGGTTGCTCTGCTCACCAAAAAGAAATGTTGCACTTGGCTTAAGGTTAGTCAGCTCAGCCTGTCAAAATGCACAGCCTTATTCACAACCCAAATAAAACAGGCTAGCAGCTGGTCTAGCTTAAAAAGGCAGGCAATTGCAATTTACTTCCCAACAGTTGTGTCGCTTCACATGTAACAGACGTCAACAAACAAAATATAAGATTGTGAGCAGGATCAGTACAGGATCCTGATCTTGATGCTGCTTACCGATTCATCCATGATAGAAGGGTCAAAGTAATCGGGCTTGAGCTCAGACCTCTCACGGCGGTTCTTGGAGGGTGGCTATGAGATTTAAGAAACGGCATATTTAGTAGACTGTCAAACAACTACTCCCACCCACTGTTAGAACTTTACCCCCATATAGTAAAAAAAAAGGAGAGACTGCAGAAATAGACAGAACCAACATACAATACTTAAAAAAAAACAAATAGGAGGTATGTAATTTCAGCATATGTTTGGAACATTCAAGTAGAGTGAATTTAGAGAAACGAGGACAGTTGTACAGTCTTCTGGTTGATTCAACATGACATTTGGAGCCCATCTCATGGAATCCAGCTCCAGCATCCAAGAGAGGTATTAGCCTCGGATCAAATTTTGTTCTGGCTTTACACTCGGCATACATAAATCTGTGGTGTTGGCATAAATGATGAAAATAAATTTGTCTTTTTTGATCATGGTATACCAACAATTGCAATGTACTGGCAAGTACATACTTTAAAAAGAAGAAGACATATTCTTCCCACAAGCAAACATTTCTCTTTAATGATTTCTGACTTGTGCTAGTTCTATTACAGGCAACATTCAAAACAAGGTGCCTGGTTACATCCTATGCTGGCAGTGTGTGCAATAAAAAAAAACACTTACACAAATGCATCAGAATACATTCTGAACTTAGTTGTAAAAGGGTTAATTTTCTTTGTTAATCTCCAACTACCATCAAACTGAATCATTAAATGACAAAGAGACAATTTAGAAACAGATACTTGTGTAAAATGCTGATTTGCCTTCCAAGACCATTAACAAAAAACAAAAACCGACTTTAATTGTGATCTAGAGTTTCCTCTAGATCACAAGAAGACACAAGCTTGTATCACAGCGCTTCAGAGGACATCTTAATGTTTGTACACCAAGTACAAACTCATGAAAATGCATGTATCTCACCAGATCAATGTCCATGGTGTCAAAGTCCATGCCTTCATTGAGGTCATCCATACGGCCTTCTGATGACATCATCACATCCTCCACAATCGGCTCTTCGTCTTCTTCCATGAGCCCAGTGCCGCGACGACTGCTGAGCAAACCATTAAATAATTACTAAGTGTACCCAGTCTTCAGATTTACACATCGGCATACAGGTGTGCCTGTGACTTACATAGCATGCTGCAGATTGGTCCTGAGCTTGGCATAATTCATGGCTCTTTCTTGCTGGCGTGCCTCCTCTTGCTGTCTTTGAGCCAGCATCCACGTCACCTGGGAACTAAATATATGGGAGCACATTATTTAGCCATGTTTTGACCCACAACTGTCTGGTGTTTTTACTGGGGATACCATGAGGATACAACTTAGTTGCACACTGGCCCGATGCCTGTAAAAACTCAGGGTGGATAAATAAACTAGTCAGTCACTGTCCCAGTAGGACCAACACTTGGCAGGCTGTTAGGCACAACCATTTTGCTACCATTTGCCCTCCAAATTAATAGCATGCAAATGGGCAATTACACTGAACCCTGTCTTAATGTATTTTGGCTCATTCCAGTCCAAACCTTTTCTCAGAGAATAAGTGATGCTCTGGCCTGAATAATCGGCCTGGATATGAGCCTAGATGTATTTATAAAATGTTATAGTATGAAACATCGGGATAAGCTCAAATAACAGATAATTAATTAAAAGTAAATGGTCATTAAAGAGCTTTGAGATTATAGGGTCAACAAAGAAAGAAGAGGGAAAAAACGTTAATGTTGGACTGTGGGGTTTTTGAGTAATTGGAGATGCTAAAGGAATAGTAAGTGTTTACTGCTGTAGCTCCAGGCTACTTCCAGTTTTCTCAGCCTGTACTTTGAGAAGCTACAACTATTCACTACTCATCTTATATAATCTCAACTTAGTTAGAGGCACTATTCCAAATCCTGCTCACTAATATCATGTAGGCAGATTGATTAATTCAATTCTGAAGCTCAGACACCATTTTTCCTCATTGATCTGCCCATTCTCTGCTGATTAAGAGACACATAGCAAATCTGTAAAGACTCCTAATGTGTTTGTTCTTTTCCTAGAGATTTATCTAGGTAATAGGTCATTATCAAAACTGCCCTCATTATTGTGCATCAAAATGCTTCGCTAATAATTTCACACTGATATGTTACAGACCTAAGTAATGTGTTTGAGTCTTTGAACCTATGTGTGGTCTTGCCAACTCAAGTGTACTTGTATTTTATTACGCACTTATAAACAAAGTTTTCAGAGGTTTTGCATCCAAGGACAGTGAAGAATCAATAAGTCCTCTACAGTAAAAATGTTTTTATTTGAAAGAAGCAGCGTGTATTAGCCTGTAACGATTACTGTGCTGAACATGACAGCAATAGTGCAGCAATAAAGGACTGAGGCATGCATACTTGTAATCCATGGATGCCTGGTGGTGCTGGGGCGTCGGTTGATGGTGCTGCGGGTGTTGGTGGGGTTGCTGCTGGTCGTGAGGGAGGGGGTAGACCCCCATGAAGCTGTCATCACGTGCCCTCTTAGGGTCCCGCATGGCAGTGGAGGTGAGATGGGGAGATGGCATCATGACTGGAGTCTGCATGCTCTGCTGCCAGACTTCGCTGCTGCTGCTGCTCTCCTCTGCACGGGAAAAGCCAAAGAGTTTGTTTCAAACAACCACACACATTCTCGTTTTTATACATTTTGCATAAGTTAGCAATGCAAAGCTCTATTGTCCTGGCCATGCTGATTTTGAGGAGAATCAAAATTTAGGATTTTGTTTGGTTGCTATGGCAAAAGCAACACATTAACCTTTGCACCAGGGGCAGGGATTGCCACAGTTCACAAAAGAAGCATACAACTGAAATACAGTTCTGAGCATGTCTGTGTGTTTGGCACTCCAGGAACAGAAACCACCTGGAAAATTACACAACAATGAAAACGGTGGGCCGTCTCTCCCCAGCCTCCAGTGAGCCACAATACTCAGCCGTGTTGTCACATTGATAAAGGCTAGCATATCTACCTATTATTAACCGTTTTTCTTGGCTTAATTTGTCCACAATATGAATTAGCATGGCATTCTGTTTAAGTGCTCTGGCGGCAACAGAGTAATGTTCTCTGGAGCTGTAAATTAAGCCATAACATCAGAAACATGAAGTATCACTTGTAAAGGACAAAACAAAAACAAACTTGATGGTGATTGTATGGAGCTTTTATGCTTTCTCATTTATTAGTTAGGGGCTTTAAAATAACCAAGAAGGCTTGGACTTTGCCTTGGGGCCGGTAAACTCTACTTTTCTTGAAATCAGAGCGATATCCTGTCATGAATAGTTCCGAAGCAAACATACACAAGAGAGGTTTTTTGACTGTTAAAGAGTACTTTGACTCCCTCCTAACATCTGCTGTTTAATCTCCTAACCCCACCCATGCAGGCTAGTGAGAAGACATCTGGGTTAATCTGGGCTCTGTGTTTGTAACATCGTGCCTGGCTGAGTTGTATGCATTTCTCTGATTTAATTCATGTTTATAGTTTATAGAAACCTGCTAGCTTTAATCTTTTTAAACCAAACTAAAAATCAATATATTTTTTCCACCTGCACTATAATTAAGCACTTTTATTTTAATATTCCTGAGTAAACAATACCTTCTGGCAACTTCCTCTTGGCTGCTGAAGTTCCAGCTGTAACAACAGGAGGCTTAGTCTTCTTGGAGCGAACGGAAGAGCCTCTGCTGGAGTAGCCACTCATCACAGACATGGTATCATCATCGCCCCCAGCCTGTAGGGAATTCCTGTAGGAGATGAGAGGAAGCCAGCAGTCCTCTCGCTGCAGCGCCATCTGGAACGTCATGAATCGCTCCAGGTACATGTGGCTGGGGAGAAAAGGGAGGTCATCTTGAGAAAATGAAATACGAAATACACAGGACAAACTTCACACGTGAAACCAGGTGCACATTCCAATTGGGGCATTTGAAGCTGCAAAAAAGCTGTCATGCATCAGAAACACCAGTTGCACCAGTTGTCACAAACACCTGTTCCACTGAGATACTGAAGCTTCCCATCCAAAAACAGAGGGGAGAGAAAAGAAGAAAATCAGCTTACACAGTCCTCTTGTCTTGTCTCATAAGCTTGGAGGAGAACTCGCTGAGGATGTCCAAGAAAGCCAGGTTGCGTGGGGGGCTTCCTTCTCCTTGGGGACTAGGCTCCTTAAATGCAAACTCAATACCATCCCTGAGAAAAGCACAGAGGCAGAGAGAAAAAGAAAGACCTGTGAGCAAGGATTAGCAACGTTTTGTGGACATTAAACAAAAAGCAGTTCATCTTAACTGTGTAGTAGAGGTGTGCATACGCACATCATTCATGATAATACCGGTATTTTTTGGTTTTGCCCCGGGTCAATAAATAAATATTATATCGCGATGGTGTAAAAACAAATCACCCTATTACACAGCGGATTACGCTAACGTGGGTCATGCAGCATGAAGTTATTAAAGTTGTGAAAGTGACTGCAAACATGGCTAAAGCATCACCGCTGAAGATTTAATTCCCAAAAGAGCAGCTACTTGAGTGGTTTGGAAATATTTTGGAAACAAACGAGCAGATACAGAACAGACCACAATAATATGGAAGGAGTGCAAGACGCCTGTAATATCGAATGGGGGAAAGTACTTCTAAACTTACTTCACCATCTCAAGCATCAGCAGCTAAGTCTGTACCAGGATTGTCTGAAAGCCTGAGAGAAAACTCTGCAGCTAACACTACAAAACTAAAACAAAGTAAGCTCATTCAGCATAGCCTCACCGAGTCTCTAGCTAGTTGTACTCCGTATGATTTTAAAAAACAAACGCTGGAACTAGGGCTGTGCGATATGACCAATCACAAAAATTTCTGTAAATTATGTGAATCTCGGGCAGCTCGACTTGCGTGAAGTGTTTCCAGCTGCGCATCCTTTACCTGGAGTCGAGTGTTTTAACCGATGCATGAAACTATACATTTTTAAACATAAGTTGTAACGGCCGCAGTTTTCTTTGTATTTATTACACGGCGTGTTGCGGGGAAAAGCCTGTTCTAACTTCTGAGTCCAAGGTTTATTTTTTAGCACTTGGCGGCTCTTTTTCAATTCTCATCTGTAAATAATCTGCTCTTTCATGTGATTCAGTTTATTTTGAAAAGTCTCAACAGGATCTTGAGCTTTTTTGTGAAAGGTTTATGTGGAACATATCACTCATTCCTACTGTCGTAAAATATCTGAGTTAAGAGCAGCAACCCTGTGCATATCCTTAGATGCTGAGGCTGGAATCACTGGGATTTTCAACATTTAGAGACCTTTCAAAATCAAAAGATAAAAAAAATAATCTGCTTCAATAACTATTTGTATAATATGGTACCTACATAGAGCTTCACTAATTAGATTGTTAATTGCTCAAACAGCACACTCATTTGTTATTACAGGCTAGCCGTTTACCTTTCCTAAATGTAACAAACTGAGAATGGACCACTGAATATTTTAGGTTATCGGATTCTTAATATAAAAACAAACTGTTGTGACTTGTTGGCCCCATATCAGATCAGTAGCTTAAGTGTGTTGAACACATACAGCATTTGATTCGTACCACTTAAGTAAAGCAAGTTGCAGTAGTCATGCCACAACTTTCAATAAATGAAAGTTGTGGCATGACTACTTTAAAACAGTTTAAAGGGGTGGCTGTAGCTCAGGTGGCAGAGCAGGTCAGCCACTAATCGGTGGTTCGATCTCAAGCTGCATGCCAAATATCCTTGGGCAGGATACTAACCCCATGTTTGCCTACTGGTGGTGGTCAGAGGGCCCGGTGGCGCCAGTGTCCGGCAGCCTTGCCTCTGTCAGTGCGCCCCAGGGCAGCTGTGGCTACAATGTAGCTTGCCATTGCCAGTGTGTGAATGGGTGAATGACTGAATGTAGTGTAAAGCGCTTTGGGGTCCTTAGGGACTGAGTAAAGCGCTATACAAATGCAGGCCATTTACCATTTTAGTGCAATATTACTTTATATAAAATAAACCTGTGAAATACTAGAAAGAGCTGTCAGAATTACTACCTCTTTAGTACACATTTTAAAATAGGACCTCATGACAAGTGTACTGGACCCAACTAGGCAGGCATATTGTAAGATTCTGGGTCTATAGCAACAATTAATGGGAACTACTTTTATACATTTATTTTTGTCTGTTTCAGTTCTCTCTGCACCATGGAACAAAAGAATTCAATTTCCAGTAATAACTTAAGTAGTTTTAGGCCTTCTTTCAGAACTCTTTGAATTGGAACAAATTTAATAATACTAATCTGTGAAACTGATTGGCTCAAACAGATAAAGGTTTACTAGTACCAATGTTTCATCAGAGATTTCGCTCCGGATGTCCAATATAACGTAGCACTCACTGACTGTGAGAGATTTAACAATTCACATGAAAGAAACAAGCCACCAAGAAGATTGAATGCTTAAAACAACCAATTTTCCACCACTTATAACAGTATTAAAATAGATTTCTACCACAGCAATAGTTTGTTTTTAGAGAAGATAGTTGAAATGATAGTAGTGATGATCCACCATCAGATATTAAGAAAAGTCTGTGCGGCTCATTTCATTCACACGGCTCAAATATGTAACGGTTGGTTGCCATCCTTTATGTTTCTGCAGTTCAGTGTTGTGTTTTTGTTTTGTTTTAAACATGTTTTTCTACAATACTTACTGTACTGGAAAAGGCTAGAGTGTAACATTTCATGCCTTAAGCCTCTCCAAAATCCGGAGAAAAAACAACATGGCAAAGGAAACACAGTATTCAAGAAGTAATTTGTTTAACATGACAGTTCCCAGATACGGGGCCAAAATCTAAGAAAAGCTTTGTAACCCAATATGAGCAGAATAAAGCCTTACTTGTGCAGCATGGCAATGGCATCTCTGGTTTTGACTTGATCGAGACCGAAAGTTAGAGAAAAACGACGTGCCAACTCCTTGATTCCACAGAATGCCGAGGAGGAGCGATCAAAGCCATGACCCAGTTCAGTCACCATTTCAATAAATAACTAGGACACAGAGAGATATGGAACATTAGATAACATCTTAACCACTGGGACGCATGAGCAGAAGGTCACAATTATGGAATTAATTAATATGCGAGCAACAGTGTGCACACTGACCTGCTGCAAACTGAGGATGAGCGTCTTGGCACACTGAATCTTGTCAATTTGCCGGGTCTTACTCATAGTCTCCTTGATGATATCACCGTAATCATTGTAATACTGTAAAAGCAAAAAAACAAACAAACAGGAAAAACATTGAAAGGTCGTGAAGAATTTTGTGCGTGTGTGCATGCATGTGCCCAAGGTCAGGACAACAGCAAATGTGTTAATTAAACAACTATTTTTTCCTGTAAGAGTTACTTATATTCACAGTTAATGGGGGTAATACACAACTGCATATTTTTAAAATGACAAATGCTTAAGCTTACCCTCATGTACTGTTTAAAGATATCAGCTCCAGTCCTCATTTCTACCACACAGTAGATAATGAGTTTACAATAGGCAGCCAGGAGGTTTCTTCTCTTGTGCAGAGCTTCAATCTTTACTGCCTCGTCGTCCTGTTGCCCATCTGAGGGGGAACAAACAATTTGAAATCCCATTAGCTACTTCCTCACTTTGGCCAGTGCAGTGCCAAAACTGCACATCTGCATATTCATACCTGTGCTATTTGTGTCATCATCCTGGTCTATGAAGACATGGTTCATGATGAACGAGAGCAGTTCAGACTGTAGTGAGTCCTCTGGAGAATAGACCAGGGGCTCCAGGTGTTCTCTGCCTCCGGACACCATCTGGTGGCTAAAGATGAGCAGGAGATCACACAGGATGGTGAACGCCTGTGGAAAAAAACGAAGAAGAAAAGAACAAAGTTAAAACTCTGTGTGCACAAGCCCTAAACAAAATGATCACAAATTAGATTTCGAATTAAGCAGATACATTATAAGTGCTCTGGAGCTTAAAAAACATCCATTGTAGCTGCAATAAGGGGCAACAAAACCACCACTTCAGAGTTAAAAGGAAAGTCTGTTCAGCTGCACAAAGTCCATGTACTTTAGGTGTTCTTGCTTTGCTTTCAAGCTGATTTTACGCACACTTTTAAACATGGATAATTGTCACTTTCTCATCTGTGTCACCTGCTCTTTGACAGCTGTGTTAACGTTGGTGAGGTAGCGCTGACACATCATACAGAATGCCCTCATCTGCTTCCTCAGGGTCACCAGATCATCCTGAAACAAAGACAAACGCATTTTAAAACATCACATTTATAGCTGCTTAAATCTGTTAAAACAGCACAAAATAGCAATGAAATATGATTAGACCTCACCTTTCTGGAGCTGCCCTCAGATAACTTGGCCAGGTGCCACAGTATCACGTAGTGGGTACATTGCAGTGAATGGATGACTATCTACTCACAAGGAGTGAGAGAGAAAAAGAAAAAACCCACACAAAAGAAAAAAAAAAAGAAAAAGAAAAAATGTATCAGTATTTTCGAGCATTTAATAAAAATAAAACAAAATTATGCAGAGTAACTTATATATATATATTACCTGCTCAGGCATGTCCCCGTTCTCTATGCCAGTATTAAGCAGCTTGAAGTTGCTGGTAAAAAGGTCCCATCCCGAGAGGTCATGTGCACTGCAAAAGAGTTGATGACGTCTCATCACTTTCAAAAACGTGCACACTGAATCTACCAAAAATGCAGCAGACGTAGATAAAATCACATAGAAAATACTTCTGAGAAAACATACTTGTGAAAAGCTGTGATCCTCTTTAGAGTTGACAAAACCTGATAAGCATCATCTTCATCAGCATCTTCACCCTGTACAGAAAAAAGTGATTTTAACAGGTCAAGATCTTTAATGTTATCATAAATAAAAACAAACTGGAGTTTTCAGATTGTCCAGAAAGGTGAAAATTTCTGATGAGCTTCTTTACAAACTATATGGTAAGGTCATTCACAACACATCAAGTATTTTCATCCTTGCTATATATAAGACTTCTGTACAACAGGATAAGTTCCAGTACCAATAAATGAAGAGTTATGAAATGTGACAGAGCTAGAACAGAACACAAATAATGGAGGCTGTGCTCTTTTCATGGTTTATGTTGAGCTAGTTTCTGTTGTACTGGACTTAAAGGTATGCTGGACATTTAAGCGCACTATTATTCTCACCTCTTGTAAAAAGTCCTCCAATAGCCTATTAAATTTGTCCACCAGCTCATCCAGCAGCTGGGAGCGGGCTATGTCCACCCTGTTAAAGATTGTGAATTCCTCATTGCAGAGGGCGTGGTAAGTCTTAGAGCAGGACTCTAAAACCTCAGTGTCTGTGTGCTTCTCCACAATTTCTTTGATCTGACGCAGCAGGGATTCCAGGTGCTGGATGGAGGAGAGCGAGAGATAAGAGATATTAGCATAGTGTGTGTGTGTGTGTGTGATAAACAATCACATTAATATGTTAAATACATTAATCCAATTTGTTCTGATCTGATTAGCGCTGTCCGACAAGCCAATTTGTCTTACCTTCTCCAGACGCCCTGTGGTATAAATTTCCAGGTCAAAGAATTGCGGAAGCTGCAACAAGTTAGTCACCTTCTCTCCATCCACGGCATACTGTGGAGCAAATAAAGAGCACAATGATGCTGTACTGTTAAAAGTACAACCTCCTTAGGAAGATTGCTTCTAAGAAAGCTGAGTGGATGATGACATACCTTTGCCAGTAGAGGGGGCAAAGCCACAGCAAACAGCTCTGTTATTCTGGTTCTGTCATCCAGCTGAGTCTTCTTCTCTTTAGCCGTCATCACCTGATGTGTGATGCAACCACATTAGACCACACAACTAGTCTCCATTCATCCATTCAGAAAGTGTACTCTGACTTCTTAATACCGAACACCACCATTTAGGGTAAATGTAAACTACATTAATTAATTAATCTTTTTTTGGCGCATCTGGGGAATTTTATTTTTAGCTTTTAACTGAATTTCCTAAATAATTTAAGTAGTAAACTGAAAAAACATCTTTAGAAATCGATGTGTTGTACACAACTCAGAAGGACTGCATAAAAAGGACCGAAAGCAGCTGTGGTTAAACTCATTAAAATAAAGAAAGTATGCAAGTGCAGTAGAAACATGACAGAAAGTACATGTTTAGTATCTACAATTATGCAGAGTGAAGCTATGCACCAACTTTCAACTGTTTAAAAAAAACAACAAAAAAAAAACAAAAAACATGAAGAATATCCCAGAACTGTTCTTATCTCCAAAATCAAACACCACGACAATGAGCAAAAGAAAGTATATACATTAAAACAATCTTAGCAAACAGTCTTATCCTCTGATAGCCTACATGTTGCACTTCAGACAGCAAAATTACAAAAATAAATAAATAATCAAACAACAAGTTGGCTGACAATTATTTGAAGACCTATGAACAGACGTGGATCTGTAGATCTTTTAAGTGGCCGTGTTTCAGAAGGTTCATAAAGAGTTAACCAATTTAACATAATTAACTCTATAATATTACTGTCACCAAAGAAATCCCAGGATAGTTGGCCGATTAGGAGAACAACACAAAGACAGCATAATCCAACAAACAGACATGACTAGTATTGGCTTGTGATTTTTAGCGTGTCAGCCACTCTTACCCTCTTCCCTGTTCCTCTTCCAACAGGTGGGTGGCACTCAGCAGCCTGGCGTACAGTGCACAGCATGATTTCAATCAAAGCCGTCTCTTGTCTGTCTGTAAGAGCTGCGAAGAAAAACCAAACAGAGAAATCAATAAATCACAATAGTGCTCTCAACTGCATACCAGTACAAAGAAAGAAAGAAAAAACCCAGTGCCATACCTTCCTCTCCTGGCAACGGGTCATCTAGCAGTAAGCTGATCATACACTCCCAGTCTTTCAGTAGCTCTGCACCACATTCCCAGAGTGAGTCCACTAGGTAAGCCGCATGCTCGTGGAGCTGATGGAATAAGTGTTCAAACAGATGAGGGATGGATCACTGATACTGTTTACAAAACAGTACGCGCAATAAAGACAGAAATGTGAGAACAGAAAATATAGCATGATAATGTACCTCACTCTCCAGGAAGAAAAAGACAGTGGTCTTAATGAGGTTGGCATTGGGACTTTGTCTGCCTCTCCTTTTAGGGGCACCTTCATCTTCCGGTTCTCGGTGGCTGAACAATCTTTGAGAATATTTTTCATTAGTTGGGAATCACATGGAATACTAACTCAAACAGCTGATATACTATTTCTTGGAACTGTAAAGGTTTACAAACAAAAATCACTACAAGCCTGAAGCTAGAAATCTTAACTTATGTCTAACATACTTCTTAAAAAGGAATTCTCCAGCTGCAACTGCGACCGGCCTGTGTGCCGAGTACACCAAGTGATAGACACTCTCACAGTCCTCAGGAGTCAACACCTCATCTGTACTACTGCAGAAACAAATACAAAGAAAATTACAAAGACTTTATCAGTAGCACACGTGTACTTGATGCAAATCACAAAATTTACAAGTGCTCAGCCTTGAAGTATAAACTACGTCCCAATCACTTGTGCTGAACAACATTACATATTATCAAAAACAACCACTTACTTCAAGACAAGAGTAAGTAGCTTAATAGCTTGTACTGCTACATCATATTCTTTGTCAAGAGTCATAGAGACGATGCGGTCCTAAACAAAAGGAGAGACAGAAAACTTAATGAGTCATTTTGCCTCGCAAACTCCTGAATTACTGAAAGCATAGTTAAATAAAGACAAGCCCATGGAGTTTGTTTCTCCAAGTATGGAACAAATACAGTTGTTGTGTTTAAGTTGTCCAGCAGGTGGTGCTGACCTTAAAGCGACTGGTGAAGAGCTCCAGTCTGGCATTGAGTTCTCTGTTGTGATAGAGGCCCTGCAGTGCTGTGAGACACTTTAGACGTACTTCACCTTGCTGGAATAGAGTACGAAAGTATCCATTACTGGTTACTGCAGTTATCAACACACTCTTTTTTAAAAAATAAAATAAAATAAATTAAGTATACACCTTAAGAGGAGCTTTTAAAAAATTCAGAGTCCTTTGTATTGCCCACCTTATCGTGCATCGTCCATCCCACATACTTCAGATAGCTGTCGTTGAGGAAGGCATCACTATAGAGTTTCATCCACACTCCAATCTCTTCTATACAGATCGCCCTGATTTCTGCTATTGAATCCCTGTTAAAACATTATTTAATAAAAAAACAAATGAGGGCTGTTAGCAGTCTGTAGAAAAGACAGTGATAACAAAGTTCAAGACTGGATGCTGACTGACGTAAGGCCATACCGATATCTGTGCACAAACACTCCTTTGAATATTGCGTTCATCATGTTTTCAATCTCGTCCTGATTTTCCTGGAGCTGAAATTAAGAGCAGAAAAAACCATGTCAGCGCATTTTATCACACAAACACAGCAACTGACCAGACTGCAACAATAACTGGTGGTCAGGATGCATTGTTAACATAATAAGACTAGTGTGACAGTCAACTATGCCACCATGCTGCGGTGTGGCTGCACAGTGAACTAACAGATGGATGCCCTGTGGGACCTGCTGTTATATAACCAATAAACCCGCCATACAGGCTAAATAACACTTGGCATTATGGGTTCACCACCTACAGAGGAGCAGCAGTCACTATTCTTCCTAAACCAACAAATGTCTGCTCACAAGCTACAGTAATTCCTGTTTACATGGTTATATAGGTTCTTTCATGACTTGGGGAGAGTCTAAGTTTAACATCAATTGTTGATTTTGTAGAATACTGGTTTAAATTCTTTGAGGTGACCACAAAAAAAAAGGAACAAATAAAGAACAAACAATATACTGTGAATCTTTCACAAATCACCTGAGATTTCTGGTATCGTCATCTCTGATTCACAATAGAGTCCTTATTTTGAAACAAAGTTCAATTCAATAAATACTCTAGTTCAGAAGAATATACTGTGTATGCAATGACTATCACTCCCCCCCCCCAAAAAAAAAAAGTTCTGAGAGAAACTGGTCTGTGTCCTCCCACTTCACGGGGGAAATGGGTACAAAGCGCTGTGTTGTTGCCAACACCGTCTCCAGCTGCTGAAACATAATAACCAGTTAAGCCCATTGTGTTCCACAACTCTGCACAGACGCAAGCTCTTACAAATTAAACAAATCAAGGACCAAAGTAGTTTTCTTCACCTAAACAGAGTAGGCTAAAATTTATCTGTTCAAATGGATTTGGTTACCAGGGAGTTTTCAAAGCTTGTTACTAATTTGCTAAATCTAAAATGGATCCATTCTTTACAGTTCAACTTTACTGTGTGCTAGATGATACACATTATTCTCACACATCAATGCTACACTTTTACCTCATTTACATAGCTACACTGGCAATATTTAAAAATCTATAGCTGCTTTCAATTAATGTAATGGCATCTGAATGTGTTGGCTTCGTGTCTAAAGGACTCTGGTCATTTTTCAAAAATGGAGAAAAAGAACATGAGAGTATGTGCACTAGGGCAGACACAGTAACATTTGCAAATCTGCTTGAACAGGGCATAAATCTGAAATGCATGCAGTCACATTAACAGGCAGACCTTGAACAGCAATAACATTTATCTCTCCAACTTCAATTTTCATTTGCACCAAGATTGAAGCATTAGTCATTTCTGTTACTTTCAAGCTGTAAGAGACGTCCTTCTCACAGCCTGTGTGGAAGGGGCAGGGAAGAGATGCCTCTCAGCTGCAGCATCATGCAGCACGTGCACACAGACACAGAATTAAACTTTCAAAAGTGTGGCTCCACTTCAACAGTCAACACGATGCTTGCCAACACAAATGCAACAAGTCTTTTAAACACAGGGCACACCTTTCTTATGCACCGCATCTCTCTGAATTAAGCAATTTTCTGTAATATTTATGAACTTTAGTATACATTATTGAAAATTTTCTCAAAATATTGTGATATATTTTTGAGGCTATACAGCCTACCCAACTGCTCCTGTTTTTGTCTAACTGAAGGAAAAGCAGCATTTAATGCAAATAAATGAGGGGTGTTTTCAATCCTTCTTTTCCATAAGCTACTGTCATGGATGACCAACTACAGTTGTAGTTTGTCAGCATTATAACCATCAACAGCATAAATAAAATGCAAGCACAAAAGTAGAAGTCTAGTTAGCGTTTGTCCTGTAAACTTTAAGTTTTATATAACTGTTTAATACTTTAACAAAAGCTGACATAAATCTAAATTCTAATTCATCAGAAACTTGTACAACATTTTCATACATGTGGATGATGAAGTTTTTTCTTTCTATTTGGGTCAAACATCTCCAGCTGCAAGCATCTCCTTCCTTTGTAGCCTGGTTTTACTCAACAGTATGTTTTTATCTCAATAAATGTGTTGTTTCCACATTTATGGGGAACAGTTGTATATGTATATATTGTATATATTATATACATTGCAAATATCAGTGCTTTGTTGGAGATTGTTGAAGTAGTTCTCTTTTAGGTACGAAACTGTCATTAGAGTGTGACACAATGCTCTTACTTTCAGACATGCCTGGCTTTGTCTCCTTGTTGTACACACAAAAGAACGTAAACAAATGGTTTTGCTACAGTAAAAATATTGTGATAGTAGGGCTGCACGATTAATCGTTAGAAAATCG